ATGGAGAAATGGATGGATTTCAGTAGGTCCACCGTAAAGGCCACAGCGTTGGATGCACATGCACCCTGGATCGGGGAAAAGGCCAAATCAAAGTAAGAAACCATCTCTCCAAACAAGAAAAAAAAGGAAATGAACAAAGTACAAGTGGAGAATCTTACTTGCAAGTGGGTTGCTTAGGTGACAAACCTCATAAAGGTTCACATGTTTGCCGCATTTCCCATGTATTATAATATAACAGGTCCCCAGAAATACCATATCAAAACTTTTAATTAAACAATGCATGGTTCCATAACAAAGTTTTGTGCGCGCAATATATATATCAGGGGTGTTTAGATGAAGCAAATTTCAAATTTTGCTGCTTTAGTTGGATCTTCTCAAGTCAAGAGTTGAGTTGGTGGGCCAATGGGTGTCCCTCCGTCCTTAATTGTCATACTCTTTCCACATGGCAAGTTTATATAGTCAAAAAAGAAAAAAAAAAAAAAAAAAAAACATTAGCGAGCGATACTGTCAAGGCATTCTGTGTGTCTACATTTTTTTTCTTTGTGAACTTTGTGTATGTGTGAATGAGAGAGGGAGGGGGAGAGGTCTGAGGTACTGAGGTAGGTAGGGAGGTGTAATACTCTTGCATTACAAGCATGATTTTCAAAACCGGACCGGACCGGAAAATCAGGAACGAGTCAGGTGATCGGTTCTGTTTCCACCCCAAAACCGGATTTTCTCAAAAAAACAAAAGGTTGATTTTGGTCAGCAAACCATTGAAGCGGGTGGTTATCCGTTCGAACGGTTTTGACCATTTTTTATTTTTTTATCAGAACGGGTTAACCGTTCGGTTTGAATGGTTGGACCGTTTGACTACAAGTATATATTATCGTTTAGCAAGCTTTTTTTTTTGAAAGATCTTTTGGAAGATTTAGCATTCAAAAGACGTAGTGGGCTTTTATATAAAGATACTGGCAGCTCACAAACTGTTTGGTTGGAGGTATGTCTTTCCATGTGAAGATGAGACAAAAAAGGTGAAAATCTTCATTTATAACTTCCCGATATAAGCTCAGATCAAGCTTTTTGTGTATTGCAGGGCAAAATCTTCCCCCAACCAAATAGGAATAGACAAAAATGCATGCTGCCAAGCTTCTAAACAGCCAATGGCCCAAGCAGAAAAATGTGTCAAAAGGGGCTTATGCAAATATACACTGTGCTCTATAAAAGATAACCATAATAAAATCATCTCATTTAAAGGTTAATAAAATCATCTGAATACCTCCCTTGCGTAGCCCATGAACACTCCCTAAAAAATCTGAATAGATTATAAATGTAATTTGAATGTTTTTATGGCCATATATGCACATACTGGCATGCTTGAAGTGCATTGCAATTTCAAACTATCCAGTTAGTAACAAGCTCACATCTGCTGTACATATATCAGCGGTGAAAATAAAATCAAAATATTTAATAACTGATGTGTCCATGTTTCCCTGGTCTCAAGGGAATTCTTAACTGTCACCATGTTCGCAGCAAACTTAACCCTTAATGTACGTTTAGCCACAAATTACCACCTATTTGTAGTAAATTTTACTTGCACAGTAATTTTTAAAATTTCTTCTTGACAAGTAACAAGAGACAAGCTTTTTTTTAGAATCTAAATCTAATTCTAATTCAAGGTAAAATGATCTGTATTCCTCAATATATATATATATATATATATATATATATATGAATTTATATAGAACCCAAAAAATATGTACAAAATAATTAAATAATTATATTATATGTTATAAAAATATATTCAAAAATAAAATAAAATAAATATGCCGTGTGTTGGTCTTGGAGTTTTTGAGATTGTATTGTTTAGAGAAACTGAAATGATATTCCGTCTCAAATTGGAATTAAGATTTCAAAAGATGAAATTTGCTTTACATATTTTGAGTTGATTGTTTAGAAGTGGAATTGGACCTGAAAAGTTGGTGGTCTAAACCATACTTTTCCCAAAAGAAAGTCGTATGCAGAAACACATAGGCCCCTATGTAGTACTGCTACCTCAGTTTCTACATGTACGGGGATGTGCATAAATGGGACCAGAAGCCTGCTAATAGAAGAAGAAAAACTTGGACCGTAAAGATAAAAAAAAAAAAAAAAATGATAAAAGGATTGTTCTTATTTATTGATCTAATGTTATATTATTGAAAATTTATAATTTAATTAGCTGGGTTTTGTTTTTAAACGACTACAAATTTGTATCTTGGTTCAATTGGCTAGGTGGCAGTTGCAATTTATCTAAGAACGAATTGCCGTTTTTAATTTAATCGGCTACTTTTATTTAACTTAGTTGTCTGTCTTATCAAGAAAGAATAAGGTTATTAAATCCAACTAATTACATTAAGGCTGTGTTTAATTGCAATGCAATTTTATCTGTATTAATACAAATGTATGGGAGAATAAATGAAAAAAAAAATGTAAGTTCTCATTTAATATTATTTTGTATTTTACTTTATTCTGATTCATGTTTTAATTTATTTCATTTACACAGTAATCAAACAAAATAATTTAAAATTTGAAATAAAAATAGATCAGAATTTACACTCAAATCATTTGTACTATGATATTTTTGCATCAGTACAAATTTATTTGCATTGCAACCAAATACAGCCTAATAATGCACATAACTTGCAGCAAATAAATTTGCTATTCATATTTCTTATTAGCATGTGTTGTTAATGCAATATCACCTCCAGAGTTGAGTTTAGTGCTCCAACTCTTTCCTCTTTGTTTTCTTGGATTATTTGGAGGATTCTTTGTATTTTCGTAGGTAATTTGTCGCATATTTTCCTTTTTGCCGAAGATGATCTCTCTATCCTAGATTTATTCCTAGTTAATGTGGAGAAACCCTAATGCAAAGGCGAGTGTTGGATTCAAAGTCATTGTCGTGGTAAAAGTAGAGAAATCGTAAGGGCCTGTTTGTTTTTTGGATTTTTGAAAGGGGGAAAATTGGTCGATAAAATTTTGGTTATCATTAGTCAAGATACCAATGTTATTTCTTCAGATTTATGTGAGGTTTATAAAAAATTTATTTTACTGGGTAAATGATACTCATCTCCTAGGTGGTTTAATAACTTTCCCACCCCACCTGAGGGAAAGTTGCCTACACTTTGATAGGACAAAATTACCCCTTTTATTAATGACTTTTTTATGGATAAAACCATTAGGGGTGTTTACAGTTTGGTTAACCAAACTGTTTTTTTTTTTTTTGAAACCAAGCTGGTACCATTGCTTTTTGTAATTACTCAAACTAAACTGAACCTGTACCACCAGTTAATTGGTTAATTGGTTTGATTCTTTGGTTTTTGTTTTTTTATATTAAATATAAATGAGGGTTCGATTATATATAATACCGGCTGAAAAGGCATGATATCGGAAAAACTCACAGCCAATCAAATGGCATCATAAAAGTTATGACCAATTAGATTGTATTAATCAAAATTTATGGGGTGCTTTGATTGGTCAAGGCACCCCATTAGGCACCGCATCAGCAAAGGTGCCTAATGGGGTGATGTGGTGCCTAATGGGGTTACAAAACCGAGAAAAATAGATAATGAGGGTGTTAATGACACATAGGTGCCATTAGGCACCACATCAGCAAAGGTGCCAATAAACACCTATCCGTTGGGGGAAGCTCCAAAATGAAACTTTTTGAAACGGGAGAAGCGCATACGATACAGGTGAGTATAATGAGGCATTTGCTGATGGGGCACTTATGTGGCAGCGTTTACTTAATAATATAAACGGAACCAAACACCCTCTAAAAATCTGCACTTTTGCTGGGAGAAATTAACCAATGAACTACCCTTCAATCATTTTTTAGATTCAATTTAAAGAATATAAATGCAAATATATACAAAATACAAGGTTTTATTAATAAAAAAAAACCATATGCTATTGCTTGCATTGAAAAGACCATATACTATATATTTTATTCTGTTATATATTGCAGCCTTGCAGGCTTTAAAAAACATTAAGTCCCATTTTATTTTTTATTTGTTTTGTACAAATGGAGGTATGAAGACGAAGATACGCAAATCGTGGAGTCCACTGTGCACCCCTGAGTCAGACCCAGATACAGCTAGCCCACTCTTCATTTGACCTATTTGTACAGGGACATATTTGGAGTGGCCACGTTAGCTGCCAGATGCTAATATTTAAGTATATGCACGGACAAGCTATGCATAACACATCTCTACTCCTAATGCTTAACTCCTTGGGGAATAAATAATGAATAATATGTGATGAGGACTGAGGAGGCAATGGGCTATGTCCTTGCCAATAAATTCTAAATTGACAAAACAATTACAACATGTCACTACTTTTAACTTTTATATATAGGTGAGTGCACCACAAGTAGTGGTAACGCTAAGCGGGCCATGCGGGATTGGAGGAAATAAAAATTGGGACACGAGGGCGTGTGACATGGTACGAGGTGGAGCAACTGGCAAGTGGCATCAACATCCATCCCATGTGGTGGTGGGGGAACCCGGAACTGAAGGGTGAAGGCCCCCCCCTCCTCCCTTTCCCTCACTAGTCACTTTACTTTCAATTTTCAAAAATATATTATTTAATTGTTTGAGGTCTTGACCCACCAGAATAATCCCCGCTTCGGCTTCCCCCCAGGCCCCAGGCCCCAGGCCCCATCAACTGCCTGGGTAGAACCGGGTGAAGGCCATAGCAATATAGCATAGCCAACGGGCAGATCCAGCTGCCCTTCAGGAATGCTTTTGCTTTTGGGCTGCCCCTAAAGTCCAAATCCGCTTGCTAGTTGCTACCATGCATGGTCCCTCCCACCCTCCCCAGACGGATTTCAATGGCATTAATCGATTATTTGACGCAAAATTTGCAATCTTATGAAAGCTCCAAAATTGGGGGTACTTCAGTAACTTTCCATTCTGCAACTTGCATCTATTTTTATGACCAACATGAGTTTTAATAAACTCCTCTCTCTCTCTCTCTCTCTCTCTCTCTCTCTCTCTCTCTCTCTCTGACCCATTGGAAGAAAACAACCGAACCACTATCGGAAAGTTCAAAGGTGAATTACCCCCCACCCCCACCCTCTGCTCCTAATTCTGTTTCGTCTACATCTCTCTCTATATATATACACATCCCCATAAACCCTCAACAAAACCATATCTTCATCTTCTTCTTCTTCTCCTTCCCCTTCTTATAATCTGAAAATACAGAGAGAAGAAAAGAAAAATAAAAATGCCTGCAACACCTCCAAAATCATCTCTCCAAACCCACAGAATCAATAACACAATCACCAACATGATCTGCCACAAACAATCACAACCCACTCCACTTTCCCGCAGGTTCCCCCTATCTTGCGCCACTTCCGTGCCCGACTACATCGTGCGCTACCACACCCACGCCGTAGGACCCAACCAGTGCTGTTCTTCCGTCATCCAACCAATTGCCGCTCCTGTCTCCACTGTCTGGTCCGTCGTCCGCCGCTTCGACAACCCTCAAGCATACAAGCACTTCGTCAAGAGCTGCCACGTTATCGTTGGCGACGGCGATGTAGGTACTCTCCGAGAGGTCCACATCGTTTCTGGTCTCCCCGCCGAAACAAGTACCGAGCGCCTTGAAATCCTCGACGACGAACGCCACGTCCTCAGCTTCAGCGTTATCGGTGGGGAACATCGCCTCACCAATTACAGATCCATCACCACTCTCCACCCGTCGTCTTCTGGCACCGGAACCGTCGTCGTCGAATCGTACGTCGTTGACATCCCGCCAGGCAATACCGGTGAAGATACTTGTATGTTCGTCGATACCATAGTCCGTTGCAACTTACAATCGCTTGCTCAGATCGCCGAGAGCTTGACCTCCCGGAACCGTACATCGTCATGACACGACCATCCTTCTCCGGTCTGTGACGACTTTTCTTTCTGTTGATTTTTCCAATGTGGGTCCGATTGATATCCGTTATTCATTGCCACCCTGATGGGTGAAATCCTTTACTCTCACCCAATCCGAAGCTTCATTCTCGTCTTTCATGAGCTGGCTATAAACCACGCAAAGAACCTTGTTTTCCTTCAGTCGGCCCTGCCGGTACCGGAACTCTTTGTTAGCGTCAGTCCGTCACCATCAGCCCTGCCGGTACCGGAATTCTACCTGATTTACCCATCATCAAGCCCATGGTTTTTTTTTTCTTTTTATTTATGTAATTTAAAAAACAAACAATTAATTGCCCCCGAAAAGAAGGCTTGAGTTGCACTGCATGTGAATTTTCAATATGACAAAAGTAGCCTTAAGACTGTTTGTATTTTGTAATTCCTTCTTCGATTCTATGTAAATATTTTCTTGAATTGATTATTCATTTAAGTAATAATTTGGCTTCCTTATTCATATCGCTAAGTACTCGACAGTCGACACGGTAAGCACGTATCGTTTCGGAAATTTCCAGCTTACTTCTGCAGTTGAAGAAGACCGTAATTTTAAATGCACTGACAGACAGGGGATATATGCATGTCTGGAACCTAATCGCCCGCTCGTGCCGTCCGTATCGTTTCCTTGTAGTGTGGTTGTTAGAAGAATCAATTAATTAGCCAGATGTAAAGGCCGATGATTCTTAACCGTGAGTTTTGTTTTTGTGATCAATTGTGACTGTGAATCGGTGATGAGGAGAGGTGAAGGTGGATCTGGGTTCGATCAGTAATGGGAATTGGAAAAAGATTTCTAAGGAGCAGTAGATAAACCAGGAAAGGGGAGAGGAATTGTGTGAGGGGGGAATCAACAATTTCTCTGCAACTTGGCGGCTTTGACGAGAGGCCAAGTTGTTGAATAAAGAACAACGCAAGTTGTGATTTAATTGGGTATTTTTGAAGTTTTGCTTGTTAGAGAGGGACCGGTGGGTGGGTTGCAATTTGCAAGTAGCAAGTTGGTTTGCAAGTGGGTGATAGTCGACTATTTTTATTATTATTATTATTAATTTTTTTTTTGAAAACAAAAGGTATCCATTAATGTCTCAAAGGAAAATCAAGATCAATCAAATGGTGCAAAAGATCACATGAAAACATTATGGATACCACAGGTCATCTTGGCAAGGCGGTGTGCAACCCTATTAGTAATTCTAGGAGAGTGAGAAAAGATGCACATAGCGAAGCTAGGCACTAAACTCTTTCGTTCTTCCAAGTTCCAACACATGAAGGATTAGATCCACCCAACAACAGGAGTTTTATGATAGAAGGACAGTCAGTTTGAACAATTGTTCTGCCTGGAGTTAAGTCTCTACTCTAGCAAAAGGGGGTCCTAATAGTACTGCATTAGCTAGCTAGCTTCACATTCTTCGATCTTCTAGATTCAAGAGTCTGAATTTGACAGCTCGAGCAAAGATGGATCTCCCTTCCAGTTTCGAATGACAATGCTAACTCCAGAGCAGCAGGATAAGGACTTTTCACCTTCCTTTTCCTACCTTTTTCCTTCAAAAGGTAGGGTCAGTCTTCCACCATTTAGCTAGCCAGTCAAAGATTGTGCAATTGGAATGTGCATCTATACGAAAACTAGGAGAAACTCCAAACCAAACAGCCGTCATAGGAGGGCATGTAGGAAACGATGATCAATAGTTTTTTGTTCTAGGCCACAAATTGGGCCAGAAGGATCCCACAACGATGATCAATAGTTTTTTGTTCTCTACCTTATTAGAGAATTTTGCAAGTGTAGCTGCAACAGGAAGGATCCCAATTGCAGAAGCGCCACAGAAATCGCGGGACAACTGGACATGGGGCGGTAAGCCCTTAATATTTCTCCGCCCCACAACGCCCCACGGCACATCTGCTGCTGCTGCTGATGATGATGATATTATCGGGAGATCGGAGATGTGCTGGGGTGGCCCCTTGTGAGGCGGAAATGTGATTTCTAATATTCCAGAATTTTTTCCTGTCCAAGCCATGTTTCCAGTAGAAGATGAAGCTCTGTTGGAAGTTAGTGTTTTATGAGAACGATGTAATAATGTTGAGGAATAGTACCTTTGGTAATTACAGAGTCTGGATTTTCTACCAATCACAACTCTACCCAACACTTATCCACATAACATGCAGCCACCCATACATGGGGAACATTTTATCCTCTTACAAGTTATTATGTACGGGGAGATGTTTCCAATGCACACAGAATTAGTGTCTTGTCTCCTGGGTAGGACTCTATCCATATTTATCCACAAAACATGACTTCTGTGTCTTAGAAACATCTCCCCATGCATAATAATATGTAAGAGCATGAGATGTTCCCTATATATGACTGGGATATGATGTGGGTAGGAAATCCGGACTCATTTCAGAGACCCGGCTTACCAGTTACGACTATGTTCTATAAATTCTCAAATCTCAAGTCTCGACCAAAAAAATAATAACAATGTGTAAAAGCCCATACCGGCCCAGCTTGCTTTGTGTGTTATTCATTCTGTACTTCCCATAAACAAGCCCAAGTTTATAAAGAGGTATCGTTTTCCTTCCCTTCCAAAATGATAATACCCATAAGGTCATAACAAATAGGTTGTGTTTGGATTTAAAGAAAAAGAAGCGAAAGGAAGGAGAATTCCTTTTCTTTCAAACCAAACACAGCCTTAAAGTAAAGCAAAGAAAATAACGCCCAAGCATGGTAAAATGGAAAAGGATGGAAAGACCATTATCTTTCTCTTCCCATAAATCCCTGTCGTTGACATAAACAAGACAGTTAAACTGCTAACCCCGAAACTGGTGGCCAAAATAATCCCAGTTCTAAGTGGATTTTCAAAACATTGACTAAAGCAATTTGAGATGAGCAATTAAAGTAATCTTCTTAGTCCTACGATTTGATTTGAGTTAATTTCCACCAAAAAACGGCTCCACACTCCACCAGGCTTCTTCAAGAAGGTTCCCATACATATATTAAAATTGTGGAGCTTTCAATGGTTAACATCAACTCTGAAAGGTCCAATTAATACAAGGCGGGAACAAAACTAGACATGGACGAAGAACTCAAGAAAGTAAACATATGACCAAGCAAAATCTCTTGGACTATTCGAGCAAGTTGCCTCCACTTTCTATAATTTTTCCACTTGTCAAATATTTGATTTTATTTTAATGGTCCATGGCTCCATGCATACGCATTCATATTCTCCAACTGACTAGCTTTTTTTTCCCAGCTAAAATCGGGTCTACGTGGTTAATTTATCCCTGTTTTACTTAAAATTTTAACCCACAACACAATTTGTAGCTCTGTACAAAAATGTGGGTAACGGGCTGAATCAAAACGACAGCATAGTTGGATTGGATCAGGATTCGGGCTGGGCTGAGGGTTTACATACCTTGCAAAAGAATTGATTCCTGAGATAGGGAATTAGGGATGAGCCAGAAAGTTAATGATTTTGCTCTGATTGGTTATTGCTTAAAGCCGTTGATTGATAAAACATACGGACTCACGTGGGCTTGTCTGGGCCAGGTCAACGGATTGGAATGGACCATTGTGATTGTCCGTATGCAGAAGAATAGTCTGAGACAGGTTCCTCTTCCATGAATATTTACTTGATTGAGAACGAAGAAAGAAAGGGAGAATGATCAGTCAGCCCAGATCAGAGCTCTATAGTACAGGGGGAATGCATCCTGATGCCAAATTCACGGGCAAGATGTGGTTTATAGGGAAAGGGCTAGTAATAGGGGCGAAGAAATCAGAATTCTGCATAGGCTGTATTCGTACTTTTCCAAGAAAGAAATGGTGTGAAAGCTACTAACCTAGTTTGTCATTAGACTAAGAATTAAGTGGTATAGTAAAGGCCAATGTTTTAAAGACCAACCTGGAATGTATCATCTTTGGTCATCGGTTTTTCAACCGTTGGATTATCAACCATCGAATCCAAATGGATGGTTAATACTTCATTGCAATTTAAAATAACAATAATTAAAATAAAAAAACTAGTGAATGACCCCGTACTAAGTACCGGGAAGTGTGTGTGTGTGAATAAACATTAATTAATGATTTTTATTACCACTCTTCTTGAACCATTTATTACTTTAATTTAACCATTATTATTATTATTATTAATTTATTTTAACATTTAATTTAATTCTTTTGTTATATAGTAATAATATTTAACTAAATGTGTAATTATTTAAATATTTACTTAAAATATTTTTTTCCAACCAACTATAATTATTATATAATAGATTTTTTAATTCATATTTTACATTTAAGAATAAACATTAATGATTTGGCTTAACAATTTTAATGACTGTTAATAAATATTGATTCTTATTTAAGGTTTAATTACTGTATTCGGTAATTATTATGGGGCATGYTTTGAATAAACATTAATGATAATTGATGATTGTTATTTCGTTTTTTATTATTTACTTAATTAAGTACTTGATGATTACTGCCATTATTAATTATTTCTATAAATAATTGATTGCTATTATTATTTACTTAATTCAGTAATTTTCAGCAAGTAATTATTTGATTTAATTTGAATTATTTTATTTTTTAATTATTTATAATAGACATTTAGGGTAGTCTATTTATTTGATTTAAGAGACTTAATTACCATGTTTCATCTAGACAATGACCCCATACTAAGTAAGAGGCAACTACAGTATCATTTAATTTGAAATTTACTATTTACAATAAAAAATAATGTCCTGTTGAGCAACCCACCCACAAAAAATGTATCAATAACTTTGAAATCATTAATCTATTTATAAAATAGTAAAATTAGATGGATGTTTATAATAATATCTCCAATCCTGCTTAATATTTAGGGACATATGAATGGATAAAAAGCATTTAAATGATATCTATTCAAAGAGGCAAAGAAGGAAGAAAATCATTAAAAGAGTTGCTAAGAAAAACAATCCAAGCCAAACAACATTTGTAGATGCATCCATCATCTGAAGTAAGAGATGAAAAATATATGACTACAATCAAATCATCATGTATAGCTACAATCAATTGATAATTTAATCAGGACTCCAAAGCCCATCCAACAGAGGAAACATGAAAGAAAGGAGAACAATTGGACCATCCTAAGTACGGAAATCACCTCCAAGTTAGGTGGCAATGCTTCTTTTGGTTGATCATGGTTACGGATTTTAAGTCTAAGCTCCCCATAGTGCACGTAGACTGGCTAGATTTTATCTTTAGGAAAAAAATAGGGAAACATGTATATAACATATGGTATGTTTGAATTATGGGAATTGGGAGATAGAAATAGGAAATGCATGTTGAAATTATAATTTTGGGCATGTTGATGTGTCAAATTCAAGTCAATTAGAAGACTCATAGGTTTTTAGTTCGTTCATTTAGTAGCAATTTGAATATTTTTTTCATTCCATGTCTTTATTGAGC